GATTTCTCGTTAATATCACTATCAACATGATTTAAAACCAATTCAAATAGGTTGATATTAACGAGGGTAACCTGTACAGTATATAGAAAGTTTTATTAGCGTTGTAGGACTCCACTATTAAAATAATCAGAATCCCTTTTATATTTTAGAGAAGTTGGCATGGTAATAACCTAATTCTATCTATCTTTAAGAAGTCGCTATTATGTTAACTTCTCTAAAACCCAACCTGCAGTGGTTTTAATTATTTATTTAATTAATAAACAGCACAAATAGGCATAGGCTTATCATATCTTCCATGGGGCTTAGTGGAACTCATTGAGCTGTGATAAATTTCCAAATTTCATTATTAAGTATGGAATCCCAACCAGTAGAAACAAATCAGCATCCATGAAGGATAATAAATCAATATCCATTAATGGGATAACAATAACCATACTTGTCACCCATTATAATTTGTCCACGCCAAATTCCTAACGCTAAACTTTGATCAAACTAATATTTCAAACTATCTTGTCTAATATATTGTTTTTTTGAAGTTTGGGTTTTGTACAGGCTTTGCAGGCAAGTATGTCAGCAACATTGATAGCTTTCATAAACTGTGACTATAATAATGTATTATAAATGACATTTATGTTTAAAAGACATGTCGTTGCAAAGCGCAGAAAAACTAGCCGAGTTTGGAAAACAGCATATTACTCGAGGGATAGGTCGAGTCACTAATTTGGTCATTCAGCAAGCTAAAGGCTCTTATTTATATGATGTTCAAGGAAAAAAATTTTTAGATTTTACGACTGGCATAGGTGTAACTTCTCTAGGTGATAATTTTTTTTTTCTTTGCTTGTCAAATAATTATTTTTAATTACAGTCAGACCTCTCTAAATGCATAGCCGAGGGGCAGCCAAAAAATTTTGTATTTAGTGATGTATTGCATTTAGGGTGGTAAAATCTATGTTATATGAGTTAGGACAAAACAAGGCCATGCATTTAGAGAGGTCTGACTGTATGTAATTTTGGGCACTAAAGATGTGAAATTAAAAGATTGCATTATTTTATTATATATGTTTGATGCTATAAATGTAATAAATTCAAGGGCACTGCCATCCAAAGGTTGTAAAAGCTGTCCAAGAGCAGGCCGCAAAATTAAATCATGGACAGGTGAGAATATAATCTAGTATAACCTAAGGCAAGCGTAATTTTTTTATAAAGCGTAATTGCAAATTTTGTCACAATTCATATATAGGTCAACATTATGTTTCATAAGCCAATGTTGGACCTTATTGGAAAATTGAAACCCGTGATGCCTTCGACTCAATATGATTCGTTTTTCTTCGCGAATACTGGTTCTGAGGCTGTTGAAGCCGCAATAAAGCTAGCGAGGCACGCAACGAAAAAGCAAAATTTAATCGTATTTCAAGGTAAATGTATACGTGGCTTTATATTTTTTTGATAAGTGTCATGTAATTTGGCATTGATGAAAATTATCGACATTCAAGGCGGATTTCATGGAAGATCTATTGGGGCGATGTCGCTTACTACTTCCAAAGTCGTTTACAAAGCTGGTTTTGGACCATTGATGGTAAATTTAAAAAAATATATACTTGTAAACACGTTCAATTCATTTCAATAATGCAACTTTATTAACTTAGCCTGGAGTTTATATTACACCTTATCCATATTGCTTCACTTGCCCGGTACATCGTGCCGTTCCACAAAAATATAACGTAACTAACTGTTGTGATAACCCGATTGAGCAGATTGAATTGCTTTTAAAACAGCAAACTGCTCCTGATGAAACGGCGGCAATGATTGTCGAACCAATATTAGGAGAAGGAGGATACGTAGCACCACCAAAAAGTTTTTTCCCGAAATTGAGGGAAATTTGCACTAAGAATAATATTTTATTAATCTTTGATGAAGTTCAGACTGGTTTTGGGAGAACTGGCAAAATGTTTGCAGCTGAACATTTCGGTGTTATGCCGGATATTATTGTTATTGCAAAGGGAATTGCTTCCGGATTTCCTCTTAGTGGCATTGTTTCGAATAAGAAATTAATGGATATACAACCACCAGGAAGCATGGTATACATTTGGATTTTTTTTATACTTATACGATAAATTTGTAGATATTTGTAGGTTTATAACCATACGTCTGCTTTATCAACTCAGGGAGGAACGTATACTGGCAACGCTGTATCATGTGCGGCAGCAATAGCTACGCTAGAAGTATTTGAAGAAGAAAGAATATTGGAAAATGTCAATAATAGGTATTTACACAATGTTTTTTTCTTTTTCTATACACCTACAGTTTCATGATAATCTTTTTATTTTCAACAGGTCATCTCAGCTGTTTTCATTGCTTAATTCTCGAATAAAATCCTTATTACCTCCACATATTGGACTAGACATTCGTGGTTTAGGTCTGATGGTTGGGTTAGAGTTTACAGGTGTACCGCATGGATTTGCTACGGCAGTAACCCGAGAGGCATTTGAAAAGCATGATATGATTATATTAACTACGGGAGTTTATGAGACTTTGAGATTAATTCCACCGTTAACAGTTACAGCAGATGAAATTAATGATGGGGTTGAGAAATTAAGTAATGCAATCGAAATTGTATTGAAAAAACTTGCAAAGGACGGAAATATCTAAATTGATGTAATAAATTTATGATATTATCTCATTTAATAAAATTAATATGCATAGAGATTGTGCATATAATATTCAACTCTCAAGATATTGGATGAACACTCAAATTGATTTAGAAAATCAAAGTGATTGCAATGTACTAATAGGAGAAAACAGAGAGCTAAAAACAAAGTATAACACCAGCTGTCTTGACTTGCTTTCTCTAGAACTACCCCAGCGCAGGGACACGGAAAATTTTCGAAAAGATTAGAAAACAATAAATCACAATTTTTACTGAATATCACATTATAAAACAATATTTCCTTTTTTTTA